AGCTGTCTTCTTATCAACAGTACGCATTACGTATTCGCCGATAAATAATCGATAATGGAAATAATTGCCCCGTTAGCTTGGATCTAACAGCACAGCGTTAAATAATTCGCATGATAATCGGGAAACATTTATAAATAATAAAGACTGTGCACATTTGCGGGTAAGAACCGAGTAAAATTGCCTCCTCCGTTTAAGCAATGCATGGAAATTCCTTGTTGTAACTACATATGTTTTGTAAATATCTGATAAATAATATTAGGAAATTGTAGAAATATATATTTTACATTTGAATTATAATATAATTACGACGAATATTTGGATTTTGTTTCAAGATTAATTTTGTTTGTGTAGCTAGTGTAAAGTTACTGCATTCATAGAAGCAATAAAGTTCTTGTTTTCGGTTTCATGTTCGGAGAAATATTCAACAAATATCAAATTTCAGAAATATTTTGTCTTTCGCTTTAACAATTATAATGTTAACGCGTTTATACGTAAAATTTATGTTAAATAAAATAATTTCGTCTTCGAGAAGTTAAAGCAGTGCACTTTACAACTTATTATATAATTATATTATATTGTATAAATGGTTTAACAAGTGTGTTTCAAACAATACAAATACACACTGAAAGAATGTTTCTTTTTCGCGAAAGAAACGCGAAAATAGAAGAGGGAAAAAAAATGTTTGACAACAAACAGCCTTCTTCAAGAAGAAATACGAAACATCAACAAAATTTCTTGCCGGTTTCGTTCTCTTCACGAGAACGCGGCTTAACGAGATAAGAAGAATCGTCACCGTGAAAAACACAGTTCTCCTTGGAAACACGTTCGCTCGTCGGCCGACAAGAAACGCAGAAAGAAAGGAAGACCGACCGATAAACCGTAATATTAATTCACCAGATAAGTGTAATCGACGAAGAACCGACAAATAAACACCGTACACACCAACCATTTTGTAGCATCTGCGTGTAGATAGAGCGTAATACGTATTACACGAAAAAACTCGAATCGTTTTATTCTCCTCCTTTTATTATCTATTGGGATGGAAGTTCATAATAATAATAATAATAATAATAATAATGTTATTAACGTCACTGTGGAACGCGGATTCGTAACGGTCGACCGGCATTTTTTGTCTCCGAATATTTTAATTCGGAAGTTCCGCCGTGAAATATTTAGGAATTTGTGCCGTTGTTGGAATGTTGGCAGCATTGAATCGGTATGATCGTCGATTCTATTTTTTCCGATGTTTCCTCCATTGTGGAGAAAGCGTACAAAGGAACAGATGTAAAGTGTTTTATGATTTTTAGCGTCTGATGCTATATTGAATAAATTTTTTTTATTAAGGGAAAGCAAAATGGAATGTAATAGGGAAAATTTAATTTTGCAATTTT